CGGTGCAAGTTGTTTTGAGTTTTTCTGTTGTAAAGTGTGCTCATATGTGCTTATGCCTCCCCCCCCCCTTTTAGCAATTTCGTTGTACTTGTGACAATGACAAATAAAGATGATTCTGATTCAGATCATCATTTTAAACGTGAAAAAAGTCTAATAGACTTTTTGTCCTGACATGGCCTTTTAAAAAGGATCGACAACATGTTGTAGCAACTGAACCTGTGACCTCGAAGGGACTCGATGGTCTCTGTAACCCCCAGACCATATACAGAGACACAGCAGTGCAGTAATATCCTGACGAACTCTGTGCCTTTTGTTTCTATTTTAAACATATACAGAATCACGAGGGATTAGATGGATCCCCATCTGGCTGCTCCATTATTCTCCCATTGGTTAACTCCATTAAAAGATTTCATGCATGACAAATGGAGATGGGAAGCAGAAAGAGGCGCCGGCGCTGAAGGTGTTTGGAGGGGTAGTAATGGCCGGCACTGAAAGAAAGAGGAATGAGGGATCAGGAGAATGGAGAGGAAGGAGAAGAGATGGGAGGGAGGGATGGAGGGGAGCTGAATCATCTATAATTGAAGGGAATCTGGCTGCTGCTGAAAGGACAATGGGCAGCTTTTATCCTGCCAGTGTTGGTGATTTCTTGGTGGATGTGATAACTCTGAGGTTCAGCTGCAGAAGTTAAAGTTTGCCTGAAGTGGAAATTTTTTGTCCTTCACCTTTTTTTTCACAAGTAGATTTACAGGACACAGAGTGATATTTTCTGGGGCATCTCGTCTGACATTTACAGAATCAGTTAGTGCATACTCTGTTTGGTGGCTGTGACTGAATTGTACAAACATGAAGGTAACAAGGTCGCATGCTGACTTTTGGGAAGCTTCAAAGCTGAGCTGCCAGTCTTCTTTATTAGATTGTTCTGCCACGTATTAGCAATAAGAATGTATTTGGTTGTTGTAGTGACATGGATTCTAAACAAACTGAAGTGTGTCTGTGTGTTTCTGTGTATGCATTGTGCAGAAATCCTAACAAAGAGCCACTCAGCAGGTCTGGGAGTCTGCAGAGTCACGCTGCCAACTGCGACCTCAGCTCAGAGACACTCAGATAAGAGCTGATGGTTGTCTTGTCTATTTATTTTGTGTGGCAGAGAAAAAAAAACTCCTGGATGCGACAAAACAGAGCATCAATACAAAGAAGGTCAACAGCACAAGAAGTCCAGTGCACAAATTAAACAATATTTCATCGAACTAGCTGACATTTAACAGTAGAGTAAATATTGTTTTCATTGAGGCCAGGGAAGTTTTCTGGAAAAGAGAACACTGCTTTCTTCTAAAAACTGTACAAAATGGATTTAGAAGCAAATGCTCCTGTTTTGCACATGTGTTGCATGTTGATATAGCAAATCTTGCCAGTTGTACACGTGTAAAATGAATTTCTTGCCCCTTCATGCCTCTGCTTTGGCAGGCAAAGTTTCAGGAGTTTCTGCAGAATATGCAGTACACAAACACACTGCTGTGTAATGACTGAATGCATTTGTCAACCATGGTGAGGACATTAAGTATAAAACAGCTGAATTCATGCCCTCAGTGTGTCAGTTTGAAGTGCAGTCAAACATCGCACATAAAGGTCAGAGGTCAGGGTCTGTGACAGATCAGCAAGCAGAGGTGTTACATGCTGTTACCATGGCTACCAGACACCTCTTTGCTTGTTGGGTAGAGCTTAGAAAACAGAACACAAAAAACCTGTCCCCCTCCAAACACACACGCACACACACAGACACATGGTCATGCATACACACATACTAAATTGATTAGAAACACAGAAACATCACCCGGATAGAGCTGCAAGGTCAGACGCAGGCGAGCAGCCTAAACTGATTTCTTGATAAGACAGCAGTCATTGATTTTGTGTCGGGCTGTAAACACAGAGGTGTTGTGGAGGTGTTGTTGTGGTTATTATCACATCTTCTGACTCACCGCTGCACACTGTAAAACACCATACTGCTGACTGTCTGAACCTGTGTAATACCAAAATAATACCCAATCAAAGCTGTTATGGATTGTGAGGATGTGAGGTTATTGTGTAAATGAACCACAGCCAAGTATTAATGGCGGCCTTAGTGCGGCTATAATGCCAGTAAAGAGCTCCATTAAGGCTGTTTATATACCAAAATGTGTGGACTCTTTAAAGCTTTCCACAAACACCAGGTCATATTGTGAATGAGAACCAAATCAATAAAGATCACAGATTGAAGTATTAAGTATACAAAATACATTTGACTGATGGCCAGTCAAAAAGTAAAGACGTAGTAGAAGAGGAAGATAATGTTGTAATAATACTGCAGGCAAACATAGAGCACACACAGCCAAATATGCAAACTCTACATTATGATGAACTGATAACCCCACATTTATTTCGTTTAAACAACACTGCAGGGAAGTGGTTTTATTTTCCTCTTCACTCAGTGTAGGTATTGCATCACATTCAGCTGGTCAGTAACGGCCCTGGTCACTAACCATCTACAGTATTTAGCAGAGCTGTATTTATGCAGCCTCAGGCTTTATACAGATTCTGCCTCTGTGTGGATGGCAGGAGGGGATCTGCATGCGCGCAGTAAAGCTTCAGCTTTCAGGCTTATTTGCAGAGCTCAGAGATAAGATGGAGGAGGAGATGATGAAGTTCAATGAGATAAAAATAAAGAGTGATAAACAGAGCAACGCATACAGCATTGTAGAACTCACAAGTGCAAGGACATTAAAATTTTTTATTTAATAAAATATTTTTATAGAATAAATTATTTTGTAAATGCTTCATTTAAAGGTTTTTCGAATTGACGTTGGATGCAAATGGCATTTCTGAAATATTAAAATTAATACGAATTAGGGTCCCAAATACTTTATAACGCATAGTTTCCCCCCTTTTATTTGTTCTATCACAAAATCTTTGATTCTTTCACTAGAAAATGTCACAAGTTGTTTTCTTAAATACCTTGTGTTGGTGGATATTCAATGAGTAAAAAATTACAGTTAGTAGTGTGAAATAGTAGACGTGGTGGTTGTGAAGAGGTACTTGAGCTCATCTTACAGGGCTGTTGGTTTAGAACCACTGAGCTACATAGTAAAGGTAAATAAATGCCAAAAAGGGTATAAAAGAAACATCATCTGAACAGCAGTGTACACGCAGCAGGGTGTAGAAGCGGTTTCCCTCCTCTGACAGGTAACAGCTGTCATTTGTTTGCGTCTGCTGATTGGAGCTTTTTCCCCTCTGCGACCTCCTCCCATACATGGTATCTATGCAGAAGAAGAAATGCCAGTCATCAATATTTTAATGCACAGACTTGGCATTAAACCCAGCTAAAAAAGTGTGTGTTTTTGGGGTGTGTGTGTGTGTGTGTGTGTGTGTGTTTGTGTGTTGTTTAGTTGGGAGGACAGGTGCTTCAAGGGAAACCTAACTGATGCATTGACGCATGAATAAATAAAGCAGGTTTGTGGTCTCAATGAAACACAGGGTGTAGAAACAGTAGCTTTAAAAAGCTAAAGGAGCCAATGGACTGACGTGCAGATAAATAAGTAAACAGTGTAGATGTACTTAAGACGAATAGTGGTGCGGAGACGTCATGATGAAAGCGCTCAGGAAAGCTCTTTAATATTTAAAGTATCTGGGATTCCATCGATTACAAAGCAGATCTCTTCTCAGGACCCTGAAAAGTTGAAAACGGTAAATGGTAAAGCTTTCATGAACTGCTCACTGGGTGGATCACCGTTTAGTTAAAATAATAGTGCTTAACATATTTGTTTTAATTATCTTGTAACTATTTTTTTCATTCCTCCCCATCTCACCCCTTCCTTCTTCCTTTCCCTCATGCATCATGGAACATTTTCATCTCTTAGCTCTCCCAGGTGCGTGAAAACACACACTCCACCCCACAATCAAAAGAAGCAATACAAAGACAACCATCTTCTTTTGTCCAAGGGACTGCTGTGTTCACAGTCATGTATCTTAGTGTTGCATGGACTATCACACTCAATAATTCATCTGGAGTCTGATCAAAGTTGACTTCAGAGCAAATTTATCTTCAGAACACAGCTGGATTTTGCTACAAAAGAGTAAAAGCTTTGTTAACGACAGCAACAACAAGACCAAATGTAGTCTGTACAGAATATGGCAACATGCAGGTAAATTCATTGGCTGATTTCTGTTTTACTTCATCAGAATCCAGACTACACACTGATATCATGAAATTTCCCCTGAGAACAGATAATACACAGATATGTCCTTTTTTTTAAAGTGAAAAATCCTTGCAGGTCCTTTTGAACTCTGGCTAATTGTTTGTAGGCTTGTGCTCTTGTGTCCCGGCCTTGTTTCCACTCGGCCTGTTAGCGAACAACATACGGAAAAACTGCTGTAAATTTGCAATCCCATTTATGACTTAAACATGATCCAGAGTATGAATTATGCAGGGATCCGCGCAGCCGATCCGTTGGCTTTGGGGCCGGACTGGAGTTGTCTTAGCTTTGATTTCTCTTGCTCTCGGGTTCCTTCTCCTGGACACGATGCTCATCCACATGAGTCGGCTGCGTGTTTTATTTCGATATTCATCCCTAAGGATAGACCGAGAGCTGCTGAGCTATAGATAATAAAACATGTTCCTCAGGGGAATACAGTCAGGCTTGCTCAAATTAATAATACAAGCTTTTTCTACAGTAAGTGCAGGGTTGTAATGCTTCAGTGAGGCACTTGGTTGTTGACAAGTTCAGGTTTAGGTTTCCACACAAAAAGAAAAGGCAGAAGGCAATGGGTGGTACAGGAATGTGCCCAAGCACAATTCATCTGCACGCTTTTAGCCCACAGCCTCAAACTGAGGAAAATGGTTCACAAAACTGTGTAACAGGAAGCTTGAACCCATTTCTGGGCAGCAGGGAAGGAAAATATCAAAGCAGATTGGTTAGACTTGACTGTGCCAGGCTGGAGTCAAGCCATCTGCATGCTGTAATGTCATATTCAAAGTCTCCTTTTGACGTAAGAGGAAGATAAATGGATCTTCTTGCTCTGTGTCACCATTCAGTTTATTTAACCTTTCTTTTATAATGAGCTAGGAAAGCAGAGGCAGAAATGTCTGACTTTTATGTTGCAGATATAGTAGTTTACTTAAGCAAAACGTATGAATAAGTATGAAGGCTCAACCTACAAATGTTAACAAATAACTTAGTGTTCAAATGTAATAATCAGGCTGCAAACAAGGAAGGAAGTTAAACCTTGTTGATTTTATGGCTTCAGATTCATTTAGTGTTTTAACTAAAGGTCACTCAAACGTTTAGATTTTCTTTCTTAATGTTACTGTGAGACATCAACTGTCTTATCTGTCACCATAATCTCTTCTCTAAAACACTGGTTTCTAGCTTAAAGATCTTCAAACTGTATGAGCAAGTACTGAAAAACATAAACGCTTGGATCTATCAAAGCAAAAAGAGATTAACCTGAATGTCTCTGTAAATTATTGTACTATTGGTGTGTTATTATGTGCATTAACAAGTTAGTTTTAAGAAGAAAAACTAAAGCTCCTTTAAAACTACAGTATCTGAGTGCTTGAATTAACGTCATGGTAGCAAATTACAAACTTCAACTTGACAAAAAGTCGAAATGGCATGAATAAAAATTAGACTTAATCTTGTAAATTTTAAATGAAATGAAAAAATCTTTAAATAATAAATCTGTTACAATACAGCTACAAGGAACGACAGGATGAACCTCAACTTGTAAGACGGCATCAAAAAGAAGTCCTTGAAGTGCTCAGTTAAAAATGGAAATTTGAATCTCCCATGAACAAACTTAAGCTGCTGAGGAAGGTCATGTGATTTGAATGAATGCTCCAGAACAGCTACTCAACCTTTTACATAAGATGTAGATGTAGTTCTAGATTATTGTTATTTTTACATGATTATCTTCCATTAAAATGACAATCACATGACTAAACTGTAATTCTGCTACCTAGTGAGCCCATTGCCAGATGTGCAGTATATTCAATGTGTCAGCAGGAAACCAGCATGTGCACATTTTTTTACACAAACACCAGATGAACGGAGAACCGTACTTCAGTCTCTTCCTGCTGCATCAGAGTCCAATCAGATCTTTGTATGAAGAGAAGGCAGCCGGGCTCCACACATGGCTGCTCACGCTGCAAGGAGCTGATTTACAAGAGCCCAGATGGGACATATCAAGCACTGACAGGTTGAGCTCGGTCCTGTCCTGCTGCTGTGTCTTGCCCGTTTTGTTCTGATGACAGGTCTGGATGTAGAGAACGTAATGGGCCTGTCACCAGCTCAAACCTGAACCTCTGAGCCTTAAGTCTAAATAATGAGAATCTACACAATCAATATTTATATGGTTGAGTTGGCATATTAAATGTCGTTTAAAACATCCACTCAAGACAAAATGCGCTAGTTGTTCCCTGTTAAGACGTCTTGTCCTCTATCAGAGGACTCTTGTCTCCTAATAGGAAAACTGCAGTGTAGTTGATGATTTACATTGTAATACCAAGAAGCATCTGTTGTTTAACACACAAAAGGTGTATCTAACCTTTTCGTTCTCATTGGTTTTCTTGAGGCAGGGTAAACACTGGTACAGAATTAAACTAATAACATTTTAGCATAGCTGCTACTGATTTCATTCCAATTAGCTGCAGTTAATTTCCTTTAAGTATGTTTATTTATATGTTTTGATCCAGGACTTGTCAGAGGAGCGCCATTCTCCACCGCTGCTCACAGTCAACGGGCCGGCCGAGGAAAAGCTGTTTCGCAGCAAGAGTGCCGAAGTGGAGCTCACGGTAGAGAAGGAGAGGGTCAAAAAGATGTTGTCTGAAGGGTAAATGTTTTTTTTTTTTTACTTCAGCAGGAAGTTTAAACCTCATGTGTCACCATGATAAAACATTAAGTTTTACATTTCAATGTGGTTTTAGTTTGAGTTTGTTAGTCTTGTAGTTTAAGATATTTTATTAACCTGATTAACATTTGCATTACTAACCAATAAGCTACAATGATCAGAACATGTCTCTGAAAGACATTGTTAACAGCACTTTAAGAGACTTTTTATTTTAGTCCTAGTACATTCCAGTCCATTCCAATATAATGTATGTAATGTACTTATAGTTTTGTTCAACTTCCTTTCCTCCTCAAAAGGAGCACACACATAACATTATTTAGTGTGCTTTCTGAGGCCATCTGTACATCTGAATATAATTATACATAACATGTTCCAGGATTACTGTTTTTACACCTCACCACTGTTTTGTATCATGTTCTTCTTTTGGCTTAATGTGAAATTTGCTTTTAATGAACAGGGTGGTAGAAAACACATTTTATTCTGTACTATACAGCTCTATGCTATTATTAATATGTCATTAGTACATTTATTAGACAGCATACTTAACTAACATTTTATTTAGGCTATTTATTTGATAACATGGGACAGAGAGACAGCGACAAGAGAAACAGACAGAGAGCAGCGTCTCAGAGCTTCTGATGTTTTAAAGAATATTTGGCTTGCATACAGTATAAGAATAAATACAACAGTCTGTAGCGATAATACACAAAACACAGAGATATAAAATACACATAAAATCAAACAACAGAGAGAGCAGCAGATGTGTGCGTGCGTGTGTTTGTGTGTGTAGGAGTACTGGAATGGAAATTCTATCCTTTAGGATTACAACCTTTTGTAGTAAACTTTCTAAAGCTGCAGTTTGGCTACAAGAGCAGATGTAAATGCCCAGAGCACTTTGTAGAGCTCTGTAAAGTGAATTAAACTCAAATCGCTAAATGCCTGTCCTCTGTTAGAGTAGGAGAGGATTACAAGCCATTAGACTCAAAAGCATTTAAAAAGTGAATCACAATTCTCTACTTTCTATTTGAACAATAACATGTTAATCTTCATCATGATGCACAATTGTTTCCTTCAAGTGAGTGCAGTAGATCATGAGAAAACAGCAAAAATGTTTAAAAAATGTCCATTCCAGATATTGTTAATTGTAAATATATGAATGCCAAATAAAGAAATGGGAGAAAAAAGCAGGATGCAGACCATAAACAGATCACATTTCCTCCATCTCATGGCCCAACTTTTCACAAATAAAATCACTGAAGGCTGCTCACAGGTTTTTGAGATATCCTTCTGACAAACAAAACTGAAGACATGAACTCCTTGGCACAGGGAACAGGTTTTATGTGACAGTATGTGGATTTATTCTACAAACAATGCATACTGTTATCCATCCAGAGAATCAGCCAAACTGGTACACACACTTCAACTGAGGGGTTTTTCTGAAATGAGAGCTACTATTCGACCACCAAAGAACCAAAAGCAGACAATAAAAAATATTTTGTAAACTGGAAAAATTTGTGTCTCAGTAAGGTCAGCAGAGAGGAGTATCTCCTCAGACTCTGGAGATTTAATTATGGCTCCTACATGGTTACATGGCTGTTTTTCACACAGAATAACAACACTTACAAGACTGGGATCCTTGAGACTACATCTTATCAAATATGGCCTGATGTGTATCAATTTGGGGGACCTTTACCGCAAGAAGGTTGAGAACCACTGCTATTGAATACTGCTCTATCTGCGAAATAAGTAATAATGTCTTATGTGTAGAATCCAGAGTCCTGAAGCACTGCATATTTTCCGTGTTTGGGTGCAACCAGAATGGATTTGGACAAGCTAAATTGACTTAAGTACGGCAAAAAGCAGGTGGGACAGAGAATGTAAGGTAAGCAGCATACAATGTGGGAGCTGGATCAGGTAAATATTTGGCTTTTAGCTTTACTCATACTGGGGACTATAAGTCAGGAAATACAAATTGTTTCTTTAACAGCAGTGATGCCCCTCAGAGAAAACAACTCACCCATGTAAAATTGTGTTCCATTCTCCTCTGTTTTGTGAAAAAGAATAAAAGCTTGCTTTCAGCCCTGAAGAAATGTAACAGCATTGATGAACAAGAAAAGCAGCAGTGAGTCAGTCTAAAAGCATTTAGCACAAAGAAAAAGTACAGACTGAATGGGAACCACACTATAGGTGGACACCCTGTGGTTCTGCAGTGGTGTGTGTGTGTGTGTGTGTGTGTGTTTGAATTTAGCGGCTCATAATTATTGCCATTATGGTGTCCATTATTGATCATTCAACCTTCCATCTAAGACCAAGAAGCGAAAAAACACTCAGGATAATAGGTTGTAAAGCACCCAAGTCTGACGATTTTATTTTATGATTGTTATAAGCCTACGCAGGCTTTTTTATCCTGTTGCTATGGTGAGTAGTTTTATGGTTGCCAAGCTGTTAGTTTGGTCGTCATGGCAAAGACTCTGTTTCCTTAACTCCATCTTCTCATGTGAAGACTCTGTAGTTTATTAAATATCCCCACTGAATCCTGACCTTTACCAGCACACAGGAACAGATCTGTCCTTCCCATATCCCCCCTGTGTTGGATTATTTATTCCACAGTATCGTATGGTCTCTGTAATTCTCCATTGTTAAAGGTGCATACTGTCCTGATGCAGGTTATAAGCCTAATTGTTTTCAAAAATATGATCAAAAACACCTCTAAAAAGACAAAAGAGAGATAGAATATTTAAATGACAAAGGAAAAAAGTAATAAAGTCACATTTAGTTCTGTTTGAGAATCTGAAAACAACCATGGGCTTATGGCTCCTTAAAATCAAATTAATGTCCCTCAAAATTTCTCCAAACAGCTGGTGCAGCATAATATAAAAGTTGCACTTCATTACCTCATTATCTTCTGCATTTTCCTCACCAGCAATGCGTCTTTCTGACAGTAACAGTGGACCAGCATTAGGTCTTAAGAAGCTGCACTAATCAGTAATAATTATCAACTCACTCTGCAGTTCCTCTTAGCTCTACACCGTGTTTTAGGACCTTTCAGCTCATTGTTTTGGTTCACTCTTACTGCTCTCTCATCAGTGTCGTTTTCGGCCACAGCAGGCTGTAAAAAAAAAAACCTCAGATAAACCAACTGTGCTCTACCTGCTCAGCACCAAATTAAACCAAATTGTCTTTTTGTGACTTCTCCTCAGGTCCATGTGTGAGATAAACCTGGAGGCTGAGCTCTTTACCCTGCAGGACAGTAACGCCAAGCTGGTGGAAGCACTGCAGGAAGCCAACAGCAGCGTGGAGCAGTGGAAGAAACAGCTTGCTGAATACCAGGAAGAGACAGATCGCCTCAGAGACCAGGTGATGTACAGAAGGTGGACGAATGGACACCTCATAATACAATATCCCTGAAGCTGATAAAAATGTAGTTGTATGGTTTGGTTAAGGCTGGTTAAAGACTGTTGAGGTGTTGATGATAGTTTGAAGTCTTATTAAACAAAACATTCTACTTTTGACTCTTCTTGTGCTGTTTAGTGGAGTTTATTCTGGCCTTAACTCATCATTTGAGAGTTGAGTTCATGTCACAATACGCCATATAAACAATAATGCACAAACTTTCCCATTGTTGTATTTTGGGCCACTTCAAAGTGTTATATCCAACCTATATCTATATTTAGTTTAATTTGTTAAACTTGTTTTAGGTTAGAGAGAGTAGCATGAATCATCACTGTTGCTATGGTTACCTGCAGTTTAAAGGTATAAGGTTAGTGCGAGGTTTCCATCATTTTGTAAATGTAAGTGTGTAATTTGTTGTACAGTTTGTAAAGCCTTCTAAGAAAAACTGTGATTTACTATATAAAATGTAAAATTGACTTGACTGGAGCACCAATTTTAGAACAATAGTTAAACTATTGACTGGAGCTGTTCTTTTCAGATGTCTTGATACAGTTTAAAAAAAAACACCTGCGAATTAATATTTTCTGATTCCTTGGTGTATATTGGTGTAGGAGGAGGTCACTACTTTAGTTTCTAAAGCTTCATATGGTAATTTAAAGAAAAACAAAATCAAAAAATACCCTAGAGCCTGGGTCTTCAACAGAGGGCCCCGCAACACCTAGACGGTCTTGAGAATTAAACATTTAGTCAATTTAATTGAAATATGTCTGAAAATACACATTCACATGAATCCAACATCTGATTAGATACATCGGCCTATTTGTAAAAACATGAAGATATTATACATATTATTTTAGGTCCAGTATTGTAATATGTAACAGTTTTACTGTCGGCTACAGGGTCCTTGGCCTGCAAAACGGCCCTGCTACAGTATCTCATATACACCAACACCTGAGATTAGTAAATTAAACTTAAAGCTGACAACTTGCACGGGACAGGAAGGCCCACCTCAGTTAAACTGAATAGACTTACTGTTTTATTCCATTGAGCTGAGTTGAGTGTTTTTATGAGTGCTGCATTATGTGATGCTCTGCTCCCTGTCAGTCACTTCACACCCAAAGGAGGAAATTTGTCCTCCATCAAATCTCTCCAAAACAAGTCACTAACCATAAACGATTTTCTCACATTTTCGTCTTTTATTAAAGTCATCTGCATCAGCTGCGCGGTAGTTCTTTTCAGCGTGGTTTGGATATTGTAAACATAAATAAAATGTATGTAATATTTAAAGAGAGAAATATTTACATTTTCCATTACTGAGTGAATTATAAACTAGATGTGCTGTAGGGTTAGGGTTAGGTGTTTTTCTTTTTCTATGAAACACTTTTCTGTGTGACCTCTAGGGTAGCAACTGGATACTATGCAGATTTTCTTCTATTCATACATCTATAACTATAACACTGAAATCCCCACACAGGCTTGGTTTCCTCCAAACTGCAGATGCATTTTTCATCCAGCCCCCCGTCCTTGGGATATTTCTGTTGACAGGCTCCCGTGATAATCACAGGGCCAGAACGCAGACATTTCATCTTTAATTTAGAGAGAGAAAATTATGCCCTTGGTCAAGCTTAACAAGGCTTCTTCAATGCGACAGAATTAAGTGCTGCCGCAACCAGCCTGCATTGGAGCTATCCCCACCAGTGACAGAAGACTGGCCCTTTATTTTTAGCCCACGTTGTTTCATCTATCTCTACAAGTCCAGGTGAAGGTTGCCCCCCCCCTCAAACACACGCACACACA